AAACCTGAAATGTTTACAATAACAACGAAAAATCTACAGGGTGATACAAATTTGTTGCCAAAACAACATATGTTTTAAATCCCTTGTCTTTAAGCGTCCGTGTGGTAAATAAATTTATTTAATTCATTTCATTGTTTAAGTTATTGAACTATAATTATGATGGAAATTCAGATATTTCTCAATATGTCATTACATTTTGCAGTCAATATCCAGAAATATCGAATTTTGTTCGCATTCATAATGCGGTTTGGGAGCCACGCTTGGACAAATGAGCACATGCACCGAAAAAAATATATTTCGTTTTAGCTTCCTCGACGTATGAAGCGTTTGACAGCCAGGTACACTACTACAAAATGACCGTTATTGGATGAGCTTTCCCATTTCAGCGTAAACCGGAAATCATTTAAAGGTTTTAAAATCATGGCGCAGTTGCGAGGAAGTTTAACGCCTTGTACCGACTCATTAACGATTACATTTGAAGTTTTCCAATTACAGAAGCTTCCCCCAAAGCGTGTGTAGTTGGGTAGTCGAATTTGGCAGCTAAGGATCATTCCATACAAGGTTTAAAAACAAGATCTGGAAATGCAAACATTTTCTCATCACGTCAACCGGACATACCAGTCTAGTTGGCCCCCAAACGATAAAATATAGACGAATCACTGTTACAAATTTGTAGATCAAAGGATCAAATCTCTTGAAGCTCCTAATTCGTCTAATAGTTTTTCATATTCAGACCAGGAATCTGAAGATTTGCCGACAGCATATTGTCAGCAAATTCCATTATGTTTTTAGTGACCAAGATCTCATATTGCATTCTTCGAGCGCACTCAGAACACCGCTTACGTCTATCTTTAAGGTTCAAAAGATCTAATGAATTCCAAAGTGACACGACCCCTGGTTTGAATTTGGGACATTGAAACTGATTTCGAAACAGGGCACTGCGTTGCGTCTGGTCAATGCGAGGAAATCTGTCTCAAACGATTCTCCCAGAATATTTTGCATGCAGGATTAGAGTTTTTTTAAGTTTGCACATAATTACTTTCGTGGGATATTTTAAATTATTTAAAAAAAACATAACTCACGAAATATGTTTAAAACATTTTTTTACAATTGATTCATAATTCAGGGATACAATTTCGAATATCTGTGAAGAGTTAACCATATAGACTGTATTTAACTCCATGTGAATAATATTGTTTATTTCGAAAATTATGCCTATTGTTTTCGATGAAGGCCCTGAAATATACCATTAATATTGAAGTTTTCCTTACTCCGCAACAAATGATTCCCTTCACAGTCAGTCTGTAACGGGGCATTGAAAGTGAGGGACGTCACTGTAATGATGACTTCTTTGAAATTCATAAAAATTATAATTAAAGTCTGCCGTCATGGAAGTTTATTAAAGTAACTTAAAAAGCTAAATTTTTAATAACCTTTAAAATAAGGTCTTATTAGTTCCCTGCCATACCTTATGTTCGTTATTAAACGCATTATAAATACTGGTATATTTGCATAATTAACTAACGGAATGAAACTAATGTGAAGAGATGGCAAAATGTGGTGGAAGAATTATTTTAATAGTCATGTAGTTGTGTTACAATCGTTTAGTGAAATTCAATGCAAATTCGTAAAACGCATATTTCTGTTCACTCGAATTAGGGACTTGAATTAGGCAGTTTTTTTACAGAATGAATGAATGAGGCTCTGTGCATCTCTTCACAGTTTCTTAACAAGCGTGCCAGAGCTTTAATTCTACGGATATCAAAACGAATGTTTAAGTATCTCTTTCAACGGACAAATTCGTCTCAAGAAAAAACTCGTCATAATAATTTCGAAATTTGAAGCATAAAATAAAATATAATAATAATCTTATTGAAAACAAGAGTTAAATTAGATTACTGTTGAATTGACAAAGTCGCTAAAACTCTTTGATCTCGAAAAGCATATTTTTCGATGAACGTCATTTATACATTTAACGTTGCTTTGCAGGTCAAGGTTTTGGTTGTAATTTCATAAGCGGAGCCATAATGTAATGTAAGATCAATTTAATTCTCATTCAATAATTTTCTGTTTCTCTTCTTACCCTCATCAGATCAATCATCAGTCGTTGGAGTGTCGCTACGCCGAAGAGAACAACTGACTTATGATACGTCAGAAAAATGTGAAGTTGACTTTAAAATTATCCTGTACTAACAAAAGTGTAAATTATGGACTTGCATGGTACTGAGCTCTGTAAGAAAGTGATAGTGAACTGACCAACAATGAAAACGAGCGACTATTTTACCAATTGACATCAAATAATTACTGAATGGCACTCCTTCTAGTTCACTCCTGATTTCATTTTTATATAAGGCAAAATCAGTAAAGACATCGGGTCTTCCATTAAATGTCCATTACTTTATTGCAGGAACGATTTAATTTCAAACGCTACTTCCAAAAAGTGATGAATTCGATTGTCAAAGTTAGTTTTCAAGGCTCAGAATTTCTAGTTAAATTAACGGGAAACTCAAGGTGCAAATTGCTAGTTACGGTATTATCGACATCATTATAAAATTGCTCTCAATTAATATTGCTCAATTTTTTATATAAATCTTAAAATTTGCATGTATTTTTCGTTGCCTATATTTAACGTCTTAAATAAAAATAAAATCTTTATCCCCTTTAAAATGACGATAAATTAAACAATTATATTTTATCACCATTGCTTTTAGCTTTTATGATCAAATTTATAAATCTATGACTCATATAAATATATTTCCATCTTTGTGATTTTCCAGAACATTATTGTTTAGCTAAAAAATCGATGCGCCCAACGCATCGGCGAAATATCACATTTTCTTCTACTGTTTCATTAACTTCAAATAAAGTCAAGTTTTCGATACCGTGAACCATTTTTACGTGCCTTGATTGTAGTGTAACACAAGTCTTACTGCGTAGAAAGTTCTGGTGAAAGTTGGGGTGACTGAAGTATATTCTTCTACTGACTTCCGATCCCTCACTTGATCCTCCGATGCATCTAAAGCGGCCGCGCCCCTGACGCCAGTGTGGGGGCCTACGGTCTTCTCTCTGCGAGACAGAGGTGAGAATGTTCCTTCTGTGCTTCCTTGGTGTTAATTACTTTTGATTTAAGTTCCATACTTCTATCTCGTTCAGTATTTATTTCACATTTTTTATGTAGAATAATTTGATTTTTATTTAAATAGAAGTAATTTAATTATAATGATTACAGTAGCCCATTACATTTTTGAGATGAATTTTTCTGTTCATTTAAGCACGAAATTTGATTGATTTAAAATAGAAACTGTATACTTGGTCTTTTGAATAATGACACTTTTTCCTGCTTGGTCTAAAATTTCAATAGTGCCTCCTAACTGCGGCGCAGTTTTCTTCTCAGCTAAAATTTTCCGACGCTCTCATTCATTTTCTCTCATCCTCTCAGAAGAATTTCATTAAATTGTACCATTTTATTGTCCTTAAAATCTGACGCAAATTATTATTTTTTTTAATTGTGAGAGAAGGATAGATTTTGACTGTTCAAAAAGTTGTCTCGGGGGTTAATCCAGCTAATGACAAACAGGGGAACTGAAGAGTCCGAACAGCGAATAACTCGTTGGTGTTAGAACCAACCATGAATCATGTGAAGAAAAATTGAAAGTTTTACTCTTTTTTTACATAGAAAATTCAACTCATACTGTATATCATGCAGAGTTCACGTTCATGCCTGAAATTCCTGAAGTTTCTAAAGTTACATCCTAGTTTCCTCAGCGAAATAAACTCAACCAAGTGCAACTTGAGAATTTAATCCATTAATAATTATTTGCAGAATTTTTGCATGAAATTATATTGCTCGTTTTGTGTAAAAAAATAAATTTAATTTATTGAAGGGCTTTGAGGTTAGCTTACTGTTCATTGCACGAACGTACTATTCATTGCACGAGCTTACTATTCATTGTACGAATGTACTATTCATTACATGAACTTACTATTTATTGCACGAACGTACTATTCATTGTACAAACTTTTAATTCACTGTACGAATTTACTATATGTTACACGAACATACTATTCATCGCACAAACTTACTATTCATTGCACGAGCTTACTGTTCATTGCACGAACGTACTAATCATTGCATGAACTTACTATTCATTGTACGAATGTACTACTCATTACATGAACTTACTATTTATTGCACGAACGTACTATTCCTTGTACGAACTTTTAATTCATTGTACGAATTTACTATTTGTTACACGAACATACTATTCATTGCACAAACTTACTATTCATTGCACGAACTTACTATTCATTGCATGAACTTACTATTCGTTACAAAGTAAAATAAAAACCCGACTTAAACTAAGCTAATGCATCATCCAGTTTTCTAAAAAGTCTACGAGGTTATTTATTCATCCTCCGAGGAGAACTATTCAATTATCCACTCAAAATGTTTGTACAAAAAAAATGTCGTGAAACATTTCTGGACGGAATTTTGCATAAATTTTAGTTCATTTTTTGTGAGTGTGTATGACAAAATATAATTCAATTTTATAAATGATGAACAGGTATTTTTAAAAGGGAAATTACTTTGACATAAATTACGGATACCTGGTGATCCGTTACTTTGCACTAATGACGCGGAAAAAACTAGTAATTACTGTGAATTATGTCTGTGAGAACGATCAGCATGGCAGAAAGCTGAAGCACGTAAAGCCAATATATGTCCTCGCTTGTGTGCAGGGATTGTTTGTGAAATTATTTGCGATGAAACAATTTCAGGAGGGTTCTTTATAAGCAGCTTTACAGAACAGCATCGAGCACGTCACGTGTGGCCAAAAGAGCACCACCTGCAACAACAAATGGCTGAAAGAAATGGAGAGAGGGAAAGAAAGAGCATCTGGCTGGGCACCTACAACAGTTATTCTTGTATGGTAGGGAGCGGGGCGGGCCAACAGGGTACAGCTTCAGCCTGTCGAGCTCATGCAGTGAGAAACCATTGCTAGTGCTAGAGAGAATATGGCTCCACATGCTCCAACGCTGCCGCCATAGTGTTCCTCAGGTCCTATAACGTGACTCTTATGAGCTCACAAACGTTAGTGATGATCAGGCCTCCTTTTCTTGCACTTATATTGCGCTTGTGGAGACGGAATTGTGTGAAGTGTTGGTAAAGCGATCTACATCTTCTCAAGGGGGGACAATATGGCGACAATCGGCAGTAAAATTACGATATTACGATGCTTTGATCCAATTTTTTTATTCTAACGAAAACTTTTATTTAATCGAAGCTACTGTGTATAGCAGTGAGTGGTGTATAATTTGGAAATCCTCGAGAAAAAATTATGTGTGTCCAACTAATCGAGGAAATGTGCACAGCAAAGTGCTGCAACAGGTTCAGAAAGATACATTTTTTATATAAGCCAATTTGAAATTCAAAATGAAACCGGTGGTACACTTCCTTCAGCCATTCGGCATCATCTTTGTAGTAAGGATAAGTAATAAATTAAAAATAGCGAAAAATCATTTACGTCCAAAAATTATTTTTAAAATCAAACTTTGATAAGTTTGTAATTGAATAGTAATTATGGGCGACTCCACTTCCGGAAATGACGGAAAAGGAGGAAAGAAAAAAGACGAGAGGGAGAGAAGAGAGAGCCGTGAGCTGATACGAGGAACAACCATTCAAAAATCTACGGGCACAAAGTTGAAGGAACGATGGCTCATGACACGCAAGACTTGGAGGTACATGACCGATGCCGGCAAAAAGTTGTTTCCGGAAGGAACGAGTCCCAATCGAGCCTCTGACATCCCCAAAGTTCAAGAACACTTCCAAAAAACATGCACAAAAGCTAAAGAATTTATTTTGTGGCCCCATCACGGGTCACCGAGTGACGACGAATCTCCGAGCAGCTTACATTATGCAACTGGAGAACATGAATATTCTCGGTATGTCGGTCCTTCTGGATCACGACAGTCAGCCAACATTCCTATCCCTCTTAGCCAGCGGCGTCCGGGAAGCATTCTCCCTCCATTCAATGATCCTTACGATGAGAACGAAGCACAGAGCTCGCTAAGTTTACCTAGTAGTCCTACCAGAACCACTTTTTCACAAAGTGGGTTTCTTTCGCCACCACCGCTTTCATCGAGAGAAAGGGCTTTAGCATCGGAATTGGCCTGGGCACTTCCTCCAGAAATTTATGCTCAGCTCATTCGTAGTTATGGCATCAGTACACTCCAACATGTAGCATCTAGACTTCTGGAAGAACAGCTTATGGAAGAAGACGAGTATGAATATGACGAAGAAGAAGGCGTTGAACTCCTAGAAATAGATGGAAAACGAATGCGAAGCATAGGGGCACAGACAGATTCGTATTTAGATATGTGTGTACAAACTGATCATGATGACACAGCAGAAGACATGGTTAAAGTTGGGGCTGAAACAAGAGCTGAGACGGAAGCTGCATTTGCCTTATCGCAAGCTCAGAAGCGCGAGGAGCTTGAGAAGGAACAAAAACAGGCAGAAAAGCCTATCCCTGAAACTTTGCCACAGCAAGCAAAAATGAAACAAAAAGCTGTGCCGCAGCTTCTTCAGCCAACTCAACCGCAGCCACCCTTCCAGAAGGAAACTCCAGTCATCAAGAAATTTTGGGGTAGGAGGGAAAGCAAAGGCACAGATCTGCCAGTTCCGCAACCTCCAACGTCAGCCGAAAAGTCGAGTCGCGGATTGGCGTCAGAAAAGGACAGAGAAGCCCCCCCTCCGAAAGGAGGTGTAGCTGCTAAGTTAGCTACAATAGAAGCACACTCTTCGCCTGGTTCTCCTCCTCCCAAAGAGCAGCAGAAAGCAGCTGTTACACAACAGCCCGTTCCCAAAAATTCAAATCCCCCAACTGAAAAAATCGCAAAGCCTCAGGAGAAAAAGTCATTAAAAAATGTTTTCAAACTAGGTCTAAAATGTGACGTGGAAGCTGCAGATTCCCCCAAGAAAAATCTCGAGAAACAAAATGCGGACCGATTCAAAACTGTTAATTACGATAAGACTTTGAGAAACATTAAAACTAAGTGGACTAAAGAAGACGATGAAAATCTCATGAGAATGTTGGCTCAACAACACGCTTGTGAACCCTTGAAAGAACTTCCCAAGAAAAAAAAGCGATCTAAAGCCATTCAGGTCGGAGAAGCTCTACCTCAATTTATCCTAACAGCGTTTAGGGTCAGTTCTCCTGTGGAAATTTTTCATGCAACACGACGTCGTATAAAACGTCGGTCATCGAAAGCTGAATCAACCGACTTTTCGGGCAGTGAAGGCTCGGTATCCATAGCGTCTTCGCTTCCGACATCTCCACGTTACTCATTCACGGTTGCGGATGATTCTGGGACCAGAAATCTTTTATTAACTGAAGCAGAAGCATTGAGATTAGGTCAAATGGGTGCAACCATTTATAACAAGCGAGCTAGTTTAGACGCATCCTTAGAATCCGGCGACAGCGACCGTGATGGGCTGCAAGCTTTAGTAGGAAGCCTTCGAGAGCATCCGTCTCATGTCTACCAACGGTCCATGTCGGCTCATCAGGTGCCGAGCGTGCCATGTTTGAGCGCCCTGCACGGTGGAAGCTGTCGACCAGGTGGAGGCCGGTATTCAAGTCTTCATGGCTTTCCTAGTTCGGCAGCTGCAGTTAGAGGACACAGGGCTAGTTTATTGCAATACCTTCTTCCTGCAGTGATGCAGCGGACGCGGACCGGTGCAAGCGGTCACAGTTCGCGACTGGTGGCTAAGAGGATTTGGCGGACACGGTCTAAAAGTCAATCAAGAGCTTCTCCTGCCTCGACATCCACGTGGACCCCCATGGTGAGTAATTATGCATTAATCCTATAACATAATTTATGTAAAATTACTTTTTAGGGCAACATTATCACACAAAAACACGATTCCCTATTTAAATGGTGATAACTGAAAAATCGTACAATTTTTTATCCAGCTAGAAATTCAAACCAATCATATTACTAACAGCGTTTAAAGAAAAACTGAATACCGCGAAAAGCTGAAGCTGTTGACGTGCATGTCTTATGTTTACTTGATTATTTATCATTGAAAAGTCTTTACATATATAAAGACTCTAATTCATGTACACTTGATTATTTAAATATAACTTGGACTCAAGCGGCGCCAACGCAAAGTGCACCGCTCTAGTGCAGTGTAGATGATTGCTCCTTGCAGTTCAAGAAGTCCCTTTGAATAATTTCTTTAAACTTCAGGATAATTATCCAATATGAGGCAATAATTATCCCATTCAGAGTCATACTGTTTTTATGTACTACATGGGCTCTCTAGACATTAGCTATTACGTAATTCTAACGCCCAACTCTGTTTTGTTAGATCGAAGCTTGGCGCAGTAAACGAATCAAGCAACACTCAACCTCCGGATTGGGTGCGAAATTTCCCTAAAATATCCCTAGGGATATTCTATCTACTTTAGGTGCATTTAAATACACTTTAGGAAGTGGAGAATAGGTATATAACTCGCAATTTAGTGGACACATTTATGATGGAAAATTTAAGTAAATATTGTTTATCGTTTTATTGAAAGGAGCTGATTGAAGCTAAAAATCAGGTATTTTAATGTGAATTGAAAGAACTTTAATTAAATTGTCTTGGGTATAGTGGCAGATATACTGTTCATTAGACCAAAGTTTCAGTAAAATGCTTTATTGTACGAGACATCACATTTCATTAATATTTTTCTCAAACGTGAGAACTGTAGCACTTGTTCAGGTTCATGTCTTGACAAATGGGCTGTGATTAGCTTTAAATCTTCTGACACAAGCTTCACGTAACACAATATGCTGCTTTCAAGACCAAGTTCCTACTGCTGCATTTTCCTACCGCAATCTCTGACCACGGTTCCAATACTCTCTGAAACATTCGTACAAGTCCAACACCGATTAATTTTAAATTGATAACACATTTATTTACTAAAGGCCCAAGACCTAACAATAAAATAAGGTTTTTTTCAAGACCTATACAATATAGCCTCAAATGTCGTGTAAAATGCTAGTCAAAAAAGGTATACATTGTTTTCAAGCAATTTGAAGTAATTTTCGTATAGCGCCTAAAATATTATTGGCATCTAGTGCCTCGTCATAAAGCTCAATGTAAACTCAATCAACCCTCGTCAGAAACCCCTAAAGTTTGCGATGTATTCATTGCAATAAATATTTAAAGTTCAATACTCATCCTACTGTTTTCTCTCGACGCCGTTTAATTGAAACTCTATATAAAGTTATGCAAATATTACAGATTCAAACGGCCACATTAGGAGGTTAGGTGCCAAAAACGTAGGGTCAAATAAAAATAATACAGAATGCCCGGTCGGCCACAAGCGCGATCTGCATGTCAAAACGCTCCAATGATTGATACATTTGTGAACGAGCTTAAGAATCTTAAATTATATCAATGCGATCTTGTTTATTGATAAATTTGCTTTATTTATTTCTTCATCTGTGTTTTGTTGTGTGTTATCGCACAGCGGTTGGAAGAAAAGTTGTATATCGTCGACTATAGTCTATCAAGTCTTGTCCCCAAGAAGGACGCGATATATTGGGCACAAGGTTTTGCTTCGTTTCTCCTTATCCATCCGCAAAAAATTAATGATGCCGGAATCGTATGTGAGACTTCAGTGCCTATAGGTCCGGAGTGCAGAGAATACCACACGAGGCTTGTGTACGAAAAAAACGGAGAGCCTGTGTGGTGGGCAAAGTTTTGGTATTACCGCATTCTCGAAGTATGTGTATATATGCTACTGACATTGCTGCCCTAATAGGTCATATACCATTGTCACAAATTTTCTATGACACTTCTCTTGCGCCCTCGTCGTTTTGATAATAATGATTTTCGTGATCAAAGTGCTGATTTCTTCTGTTAAAAACTGGGAAGGAAATGCTACAGACAGCCTACAAGGATGATGCTATGAGACGAACGCAGGTTTTTGAATAGATTTTTCGCTTCAAAAAAGGGGAAATGTCAATAAACCAGCGACCTCGCTCAGATCGCCATTCCAATTACCGCACTGAAGAAATGATATGATAATTAGAGACTAAGTCACTGAAGATCGACGTAGAAAAGTAATAATATCACTCGTTTGCTTGAATCGCAAATTCACTAAAAACTTAATAGCAAAGAAAACTCCACAAAAATTCATAGTATCTTTAAAGAAAACGTTTCGGAGTCCAGCTCCATCGTCAGTTCGAAAATTCTAGAACACAGACAAATCAATGATTAGTACAGTCAAGAATACAACGAAAATCCTAAGCTGCAAAACCTACCTATTTACAATTTCAAGCGGGTAAGAGCTTGCGCATTTTAGAATCATTGTATATTTTTAAACATAGGCCTAGTTTGAATTTAGCTTTTAGCTCTTACCCGCTTGAAATTGTAAATAGGTAGGTTTTGCAGCTTAGGATTTTAGTTGTATTCTTGACTGTACTAATCATTGATTTGTCTGTGTTCTAGAATTTTCGAACTGACGATGGAGCTGGACTCCGAAACGTTTTCTTTAAAGATACTATGAATTTTTGTGGAGTTTTCTTTGCTATTAAGTTTTTATCGACGTAGAAGCATTGACAAACTTTCGGAACTGTCCCAAGTGACTTGGAGTTCACACCAAAAGATTAAAAAAAAGTAATTATTAAAATCTATATTTTACAAACCCGTCCGGTTTTTGGGTCTCCCCCCCCCCTGCGTATATTAGACCGACATTAAATGATATTAATCATTAATGGCGGCAAACAATTATGATTATAATAGTTACCAGACTACAATTCCACTAATTTGCTTCCCATAATTTGTGGAGATGCTCGTCTTTAAAATTTTGGTCATTTTTCGCTTATGGGAATGAAAGGTGGTGATTCGTTGTTGGGGTAGCTAAGTTATTAAAGTTCAGAGCACCATGATCGGAGCTGTATGTGTGGTGGGTTCAATCCCAGCAAGCTAAATTATTTGTGATTTAAATCAGCAATAAGGTCGAATAGATATAAGATCGGCAATATTGGTGCAGTGAGTAGCGGGTTCTCAGCCCAAGCAACCTATGACAATTTTGCGACGTATATAATCTGTGACAGGCCAGATTTTGCCTAATCATAATTTGGCCTAATCATAACGCCAACTCCATAATTACTATTTGAGCTCATGGTGGCCGAGTTGTTAAAAGCGCATAACTGGGATCAGATAGTTGACTCAAGCTAAAATAATTTAATGAGAGTATGTTAAATGAAAGTTAAACCGCTTTGCATACCAGCTGTTTAAATCTTTCTGTGCAGATAAATACTACATTCCAAGTCGGGTATTTACTCTTATGATTGCTCTAATATAAAGAATAAATTTGCCCACTTAAATGCGGCCAGAATTCCATTGCATTGTTCTATTTTCCTCACAAGTTAATCTGTAAATTTCTCAACAGTCAAGTTAAAATAAATGGGTTGTGAAATCCCTTTAAATTCGAAGAATTTTTTTTCTCTTCATTCCTCGTTGAGCTTAACAATTAACTTGCAATAAATCGCATTGCCAGTGATTAATTTGCTTTGTATTCACATCAATTTTATTTATTAGTTCTTCTTAATCTATTTTCAACAAATACCATTGCCAGCTTCGGCGATTTATCATGTCTTTGTTAATCCACAAATGGCAAGGCTAATCGGGCAAATTCCTTTTTGACGTCGTCTCGTCCATAAACTATTTCTGTCGTAGCTCACAATGGCGACTGCAATGAAGCATTCATGGGGACGGAGTTTGTCTCAGGGCAGCTTTAGCTCTCATCAAATACTTCAAAGGAGAATTTATGATTCGTTAAAGTCCTAGCAGTGAGTCGTTCGCTCGGCGCTCTTCACTTCAAAGCTTCCGAGCGGCCGATGTCGCTGTTGCCTTATTGTTGCGCTCGTCTCAGGGCTTTGCCAAGCCTGTGCACACTGTCAAATATTGTGGTGTGGTGTGATGTGGTATGGTGTGGTGTGGTGGTGTGGTATGGTATGATGTGGTGTGGTGTGATGTGGTGTTGTGGTATGGTGTGATGTGGTGGTGTGGTGTAGTGTGGTGTGGTGTTGTGGTATGGTATGGTGTGGTGTGGTGGTGTGGTGTGGTGTGATGTGGTGTGGTGTGGTGTGATGTGATGTTGTGGTATTGTGTGGTGTGGTGGTGTGGTGTGGTATGGTGTGGTGGTGTGGTGGTGTGGTAGCGTGGTGTGGTGGTATGTGGTGCTGTGGTGTGGTGTGGTGTGAAGTGGTGGTATTGTGTGGTGTGGTGGTGTGGTGTGGTATGGTGTGGTGTGGTGGTGTGGTGGTGTGGTAGCGTGGTGTGGTGGTATGTGGTGTTGTGGTGTGGTGTGGTGTGAAGTGGTGTGGTAGCGTGGTGGTGTTGTGGTGGTGTGGTGGTGTAATAGCGTGGTGATGTAGGGTGGGATGTTGTGGTGATGTGATGAGATAAAGTGATGGTGTAATGTTACATGATGTGGTAGAATATTGTGGTGGGATGTGGTAATGTAGTGCGGCAATTTTTGCATGGCTAAGGGAAATAATGATGATTTGTCGTTTTTACGATTCCTTGTTTGGTTTGCTTAACGAGTTTATATGCAATAATGATTTATTGTTTGTCGAGGTATGCTTAAGTGGTTTGAAGTGTGATGAGGCCTTATTCATGGTTATGATCGTCTGAAACCACAGTATGACGCCGATCTCAGACACCAGTTTAATTGAATTTTTGGAGAAATTATGTAGATTTGTAGAGTCAATTTTGCCGTAGGCGAAAAAATCGCACTCCAGATATGAAGCCTAAGCAATTATTTTTCAGTATTTAGATCA